AAATCAAATAACACTGCCGGAGATGCTGTCTGAGGACAATTAAAGGGGCCTCTGAAGTCTCTGGTCCCTCCACTGAAGAGTACTGCTCTTGTTTGAAGCCTCTGCGGACCCCATTGAATGCCGGAGGCAGAATAGGAGTCGCAGTATTCGTACGGGGGCTCATTCGGGACCCTTTAAATTGGCTCCCGGTTGTCCTACGGTCAAGGGCTGACTTCTGAACAGAGCCATATAGATCACTCTCACTTTGCCTACATTTTGCTTGGGCGACCAAAGTTTGCAGAAGAAAATCACCCTTTTGTTAGTTTTCGATTTTACCTCACTGAATTCGTTCGAACATGTTCGTACATTTGCCCCATTAATTCTAAATTCTTTTTTTCATGAGTATAGTGTGTGTATTATCGTTTGGCATTTTGATAACTGCGTGGGATTTTTAATACTTTGTGAATTTTTCTCTGACGTTTATACTGACGGCCAGCCATACTAAGCAGCCACTTGTAGGACAAAGCATCAGTGGTAGAAGCTCTCGGGAGATATTTTTTTCATGCACAAACATAAACCAAGCGGCATAAAAGCTGATGTTCTCTGTATTAACTTTCATGACACTCTCAACCGGTCCCGCGTTGAAAGTTTAGTGTCTAACCATTGCTCCTTCGCAAGCCATTATGCTACTTAGCGGTAATCCGCGGACTTGGCCATGAAAAGGTTGCAGAGTTGGGAGTTAGAACTCACAATTCGGACAAGTGCAGAAAACATGTAGGTCTAATCTCGAGCTCATCGTATCATCAATCAAGATGCCCGAGGTAAGCTTCCCGAATGTAATGCCATAACAACAAGATGGTATCGCAATGCAGGCGGTAATGCCACAAACCGTGTCACTTGTTTTCGGATTTCCCACGAATAGATGAAGTACGGAATGTTTGCTGATTAAGACTAAGGGGCTAAAAGGCATCCCATAACTTGAGCGCCACGAAATGCAGTTCTTTTGGATTGTCAATGCATTATTCTACGCGTGCAGTTTTAGCTTTGGCAAAGATTCTGTATTTAGAAAGAGCAAGGTCATTCGGGAACAAAACACGCGCGCAAGTCCGCCTGTGGCCTGATCTCGCACGCGCGTGCGAATGACGTCGGGCGCGCTTTATTTTGCACATGCGCTATCGAAATACTGAGCTCATATGCAGCAAGGTATGAGACAGAGAGAACCCCCCTCTGCTTTGTGCTGGTCATTGTCTCGCAGGAATCTGGGGAATT